CAAATCCCGAGACGTCATTCTCCCCTTGTACTCAACCTTGGTGAGGCCACAGCCAGAGTACTGCGTTCAGTTTTGGGCTCCACAATTCAAAAAGGATGTGGAGAAGCTTAAGAGAAGAGCCAGGCGCATGATCAGAGGTCAAGAAAACAGACCTTACAACAACAGGCTGAGAGCCATGGGGCTGTTTAGCCTGGAAAAGCACAGGCTCAGGGGTGATCTACTGGACAGTAAAGAAATTCTTCCTTATGTCCAGCCTGAAATGGTCTTGCAGTAGTTTATAACTGTTCGACCTTGTCATCCCTTGGGACGCTCTGGTGAACAAACATTCTCCCAGATACTGGTGGTCACCCCAATAAACTTATAGGTGGCCTGAGATCTGGTCTGAAAGTGTAAGGTCAGCACCAGGACAAGTTAAGCTTAAATTGGGCAGCCATTTTGAACCCAATTTAACCTCCTAGATGTCCGTACTTAGCCTTAGTGTTTAGAGAGGCATTAACCAGGTTATATTGTGGCCTATGAGAAAGATAATTAAATGTTAAATCTGGAACAATAACGTTTCCAAAGTTTGGTGAAGACAGTTACTGCTTAGTTTACATGCCACAACTGAATCCATGGCATGACTTAACAAGGAAATAAGGAAGACAAGTAGGTTTATGCTATTCCTTTATACCCCAGCATTTATAAGAAAGGGTTACTATATATCATGCACAATATATTTACTCCCTATTTAATATTCTGCTACTTGATTTTTGTATCCAGCAACATTTGCATTATGCCTGATGCTTTAACAGTCCAAAGGGGGGTTGAAACAACTTATGGAACCCAATGCTCATGTACCAGTGTGGTACCTGCATGGAAAGGGTATGCTTGCAATTTGGGGGGGGAAGGGTAGGCAGAAAGCAGGGCACAGCTCCCCTCTTCCTAGCTTGAGCATGCAGACTTCCCCCACGGCTCCCATTCCCATTTGGCTGTGATGGCAAGGGCTTCCTAGTGTGGTTTAACCTCCCTGAAAGACAAAGAAGTTTAGGAGACTAAATCAGTAGCCAAATTCCAAACCAAGGCAACGAACACTTCAGTGAATCTTCCAGTACCCATTAAGACTTAGTGTTTAAAAAAACCCAAAAAACCCCCCCATGTATTGTTATAGCACTACAGCTGGGGTGGAGGGTGGGGAAAGAGGAGTGTGTCATTTGCAGTGGAAACTTAAGATGCCTAGTTTTAAAAACCCATCATACAGGCTAAAATACTCTCCAATGCTGGCCAAGGCTATAGCAGACTCCTCGCTAGCACAGCCTGGTTTCTCACAAGCAGTGAGCAAGTACTGCAGTGTGGCAAATGTTAATGACATAATCCCCACAGCAGTGCAGTGAAACTTCTCAGGTGAAAAAACTGAGGCAAAGGAAAAATAGTTTGTCTATACAACAGATCAGTCTGCTGCAAAGCTAGAACTGCAACCCAACTAAGCATTTCCTAAAATTATCTCATATGCCAACTGGATAAGTGTTTGGGGTTACCTTACCAGACCTGGCATTAGAAACTGTAGAACACACACACACTCCAATAATTAGGATCCCATATACCATCCAAAGTTGGAACCCCATATCTCAGGAGGGTGGGGGGTTAATTTGGTTATATGCAGGTCACTATTTAGGATGTGACAAGCTTTTGTTCTGTGTTTGTGTAGTATTTGGCATAACAGGGTCCTGGTCCCCAACTGGGGCTCCCAGACATTGCTAAAACGTAAGAGTTATAAAATTGAAAATAAAGTATTGTAAGACACCATGGGCACAATTAGAACATGTATGGAAGTAGGAATGCAGGAACAGGAATCAGCAATATCTTAACTAAAGGTGGGCAACCCAGGCATGAATTAATGGTTTTTTGCTGTTGCTCAGCCAGGAAAATAGGTATCAGCTGCCACATTAACCCCATAACTGCTTGCCATGCCAAAAGATACCTATCCCTGCAGTAGCAGCTATTCCCTGTTGGTCCAGGACAAAAACCCTATCAGATATGCCTCTGATCACCAGATCTAATTTTTGCCCTTTAATAGATATTTGCCCTTGAATTTTTGCCCTAATTTTTGCCATTTGCCATTACTTTCGGGTGGAGCTCAGAAGACATGAGCTAATATGAAGGGAGGAGGGTATTTCAATAACTTGAATGTTAATAAATTTTCAGTTGTATAACAAATAGCATCATGATTACAGTATTCATAGCAATACCCTTTACAACAATGCATCCACACCCATGAGAAAGGTTAGGTAGCTGTCTGTCTCCTTTCTTGCTTCTCTCATGTAATGCACTCCAGGACCTCGCTTCAGCAAAGTGGATGAGTTGTGGTGAAACGCACCAACAAACCACTAACCACTGAGTTACGAATGTGATATTTAGTTCTTTCAAAAAGTGTGTTTTCCACACAGATAAACCTCAATAACAAAAGCTCCACATAACTGTAATGCATTTAGGAGGACTTCCTTTATACATGTCAATAATTGGATACATGTGCAGTCCTGCCATACCAGCAACCCACTTCTCACCTCTGGGTACAAACTGTACTCCCACTTGGATATCTGCGATACTATACTGTTCAGTGTCATAACTACCACCTATATTTGTTAGTCCTCTTGCAAATGCCATATCGCTAAATTCTTGGCAATAAAAACTTTAACCACCCCAGCATGGATTCAAAGCATTCACCTTATCTTACAAGGCTGCAATTCCCTTTCCTCAATGCCAGCATAATTCATCATCAGCTGATTCATCCCAGCTTACACCAGTGTAACAGAGGCCACTATCAGCCTCTGTATAGAAGAAAGGAAAGGTGGTAGTTAACTTAGATGTAAAGGCCCCTTTTCAGTTCATAGGCAGGCAAGGTTCTTTGGGTAGATGTGATATCTTTTATTAGACAAACTGAGTAGCTTGGAAAAAAGTTCTTGGCAAGCTTTTGGGCACAGCCACCCTTCTTCAGGCATAGGGAATCTCTGCTGTTTTGAGACTCCAAGAAATAAGAGAAGCTAAAAGTGTGGCAGGATGTCAGTAAGAATGTAAATAGGTAGAAATTAGAAAGACAAAAGGTAAAGCAGAGAAGAGAGGGGGAAGAATGCGTTAGGGGAAAAAGGCTAAAGGGAGACATTGCAGTGATAGAATACAAGGTAGAAAAGAGGCTGTCAATGAAAAAAGGAAATAGTTGGAGATCAGGAAAACAGGAATGAGAGAAGCTCAAAGTGTGAGAGGATGTAGTGAAAATATAAATAGGTAAAAAAGAAAAAACAAAAGGTAAAGCGAGGGAGGGAGGGGAAAGAAAGCGGGGGCGGGGGGGAAGAGGCCAAAGGGAAACACTGCAGTGGTAATAATACAAGGTAAGAAAGGCTCTCAATGAAGAAAGAAATAGTAGGAAATCAGGGAGACAAAGGGCAGAAAAGTAGGGGAGGGGAGGGGAGGAAAGGTGGGGGAAAAGAAGAATGTAAGTGGTCAGGCAGGTAACCTGGTGAATCAGATGTCAGGCTGGTTGTAATGTGTCATAAAACTATTGTCTATATTGAGTCCGTGATTTTTTGTATCCAGTAGATTTATGAAGTGAAGTTCGTAGGCTCGTCTACAGAAGGTGTTTTGTAAATTACCTTTGAGGCTTAGAACTGAGAGATCAGAGAGGGAGTGATTATCCTGTGAGCAGTGGGAACCCACAGGTAATTGGGTATTCTTGTCTTTGACAGATTTTTGGTGGGCTTTCATTCAGTTTTCAGTTCATTCATCTTTTCAGTTCAATTTTTCCAAACTTACACGTTTTCAAATTAAGTTTTCCATCTCTGATAAAGAGAGTGGTTCTCTCTCTTACTCCTTACTTCCACCCCTCCCTCTTTAAACGCTGAGTAAATCTGCTCAGCCATTTTTGAAAAAATAAAATAAATTTAAAAACCACACACATCTTTCTCCATCATTAAAAAAAAATTTCAGAAAAAATTCTTGAGCAGTTTGAGAACCTGCCTTAGTGCCTCAGTAGTTTGGAAGTCTAACTCTGGAAAGGAAATGCTCTTTAGGGAGGATATCTGCATTTTCAGTGTCCCTCTACAAACTGAGTTTGATTTGTCCAAGTAACAACAGCTGAAAAAGAAAAGAAAAAAAAGTAGTCTGTGCCTACACAGTAGATTTTTTTCATAATGATAACACTGTTTTGAAACAGTCCCTGATTCTTCACATGTGAAATAATGCAACAAGTCCAAGAAGGGCAGTGTTCTAACATTGTGGTCTAACATTTGTACCCTTAGCACAAGTGTCTGAGTGATCACAGATTATGTTTCTGCAGCAAAAGCAGGCAGTAAGATCCAGAGTGTACTCAGATAGGGTTTATCCAGGCCTCGTTCTGGGACAAACACTGCTTGCAAATGCATTTACTCCCACTTTGCACACAGGTATATCTGCACAATATGAAGAATACTTTTAATAAGTTTGTCAACCAACAGTCAGTCCTAGGTATGACCATAAATTGCATCCAACTGGAGGGTCTGGTGGCACTGTGGCAGAGCTACTCGTGAGGTAGCTCCTTTAAAATACCACAGTGTTGCAAACTTCAAACTAAGGCGAATATAGTGTGCCTCAAAACCCTAGCCCCCAATGCCTTGTGGGTACCCCTTAGCTGGAAAAAGGCTAACAGACATCACCCTGACAGAAATGCACCCTTGCTGAGGCGTTAGGCAGTCAGCAGCAGTTCTTATCTATTGCTGTCTGGCAGAAGCTCCAACCATCAAGGCATTGAACATCTTGGACTCAGTCTGGCCTCTGCATCCTGTCTCAATGGTCTAAAGGGGAATAGTAGGTCTTGGGCAGCCTCCATACTCTTGTCTAGGCTAACATGGTGGTCTTGGTGTGATGGTTACAGGACTTCATATAAACAGATTCATCAGCAGGGATCCAGGTTGTCCATTTGCCATGGAAAAATGTAGATTTTCTACTTTAAAGGAGAAAAACATAGGAAGCCACAGGTTTCCCTTTGCAGGCTGGCAGAGTTCCAGCCTGCAAGGGGTTGCTTGGGGCTGAGGGGAGCTGGATGCAGGGGGTGCCACATGCATGTGCATATGCACATGGGAGCCAGGCAGTGTAGCAAAGAGCAACTCCATCCAGATAAGTCTATGGAGTCACAGGCAATGCGGAGAGGGGGCCACAGGCAACATGGTAGGGGAGCACAGGTGATGAGTTGATAGAGCAGGGGAGATGCAGGCAATGCATTGGGGGAGAACATGTCTCCCCAGATTTCTGCACCCACAATAGGGTGTGAGGTGGGGGGCTGCAGCCAGGCTGGATCAGCTCTGGGTAGCAGCCACCTCCATGACCCAGCACAGCAGGGAGTACTTCGCTGCTATAGTCACCAAAGTGAGGTGTCCCCTGCCCACTCAGCAGCAGCAGGGGCACAACTCTGGACTACCGCTGCCACACCTCACCTTGGCACCCATAGCAGTGCAGCACTCCCACCCATGACAGGTTCCGGCTGCTGGGCCACAGAGGTTTGTGCCTGCCTAGAGCTGGTCTGGCCTGGCCACAGCCCTGTGCCCCACCATGGGTGCAGAAATTTAGAGTGGGGCACTTGCCCCCCCCGACACGTCACCTGTGCCCCCACTGCCTCTCCCCATGCCCCAGTGCTGCCACACACAGTCTGCCGCAGCTCTGCCTGTAGCAGGGGCCCCCCGCCTGGTAGGGGCTCGCACCCCCCAACATTATTACAGGGGTTGCTACCCCCATCAAGATCCCTGCCCCCTTGCCACTTCAGTGGCTGGACAGGGGCATGGCCAGACACCAGCCATCAGGGCTCCTTAGGTGGGGGCAGGGATGAGGGTTATTCCCCCTCTCTCCAGTGTCTGGTGGAGGGGGCTTATTCCACCACTTTCCCCAAGCAGGGAGTGAGCCGCACCAGTCAGGGCAGGCAGACACGGCTGCGGTCCCCCAGGGGCAGTGGGAAGTAGAGAGGAGAATACTCCC